GTCCTTGATAAATTTTGCTTGCCTTGTTCTTTGTTTTATTAGTGTTTCCAGACCAACCTCACAATCTCCTAAACTGAACACAGTTCTGGTTATAAAGAGAATGTTTGGTAATGTTTCTTTTAGATTTCCAGCCTGTTTTAACCCTATGGGTGAGGCTGACTGTGGAGGGGTACTCTGTTTTTGTTCACACATGTGTACACTGGAAGTGATAGCTGTACAGTGAAAAACAGGAAATGTAGCACTGTAGTGACACTGAGCTGGAAGAGGGGATAGCAACTTTAGCTTTAGCATTGGTCTGTCTCTGTGTGGTAACTTGGGCTTTCATCGCTAAGGAGGATAATCAATACTGGTGATAATGGGAAACTCTTCTGCATTTCTGGCAATAACTGTGACTCATCTGATCTAAATAGAAAATAGAAATGGGACTTCTGGCTGGGCAACAGGTTGGCTAGCAAATTCAGGGCGTGAAACACCTGTGTTCCAGACATGAACAGTCCTGTGTCTCCGCAGCAAAGCCATCTGTGCCACAGGTTGCTTGCCAGATTTTTCTGCAGAAGGAGTTTATCTATTAGAAAGATGATTCCACAGTTCAGTGTGGATATGTGCCACTTTCAGACAATCCACGCAGGAAAGATAATGCTGCCCATTCAGTGGCAGCATCTGTTCTTTGGCATACGCTTTGAATATGATCATTGCTCGTGACTTGCTGCTGAAATATTGCAAGTACCATCATGATTTAAATAGCATTCAAATTGCAGGGTGTTTTTATGTGTTCTCTGCTGTTTCATAGCAGCAGGTGAGCATCACCAATATCTCCATTCTTCTAGTGGGTAAGTTGAGGTATAAGCAAAGTCTGTATTTATATCCTGCCCATATTTTTGTGTTGTATCAATGCCAAAGACAGAAGTAGTGAAGAAGTTTTACGAATCCTGATTTGGTATCTTTACCATTAGAATGGTGGTGTTTTCCTAAAAACATATCACACAGATACAATCCTGTTGGTGTGGTCACCTAATAGATGTAGAGCTATAGAGTAATACTGGACCTCTGTCCTTTATGTCCCATCATTTAGTGAGGTTTCAATAAAATTGTTTCATTGTTTATATTTGCAGATATTCATGGCAAGGAAAGCCGTTTGATCCCATAATCTGGCTTCTGGGTCAACATCGATTACGGATAGTATCAGTCAATAAATGCAGTGTGTCTATAAATTCAAGTGAAATTATGGTCTTGTTTTGAAAAAGGTCTTCGTTTAGTGGTTCCTGCTTACTTTGTTCTGGTGTCAGAGAAGAATATAAGAATTTATGAGATAGAATTTGAGTTTTAAAAAGGCTTTCCTAGCCTAAGTTTTTTCCCTGATAGTTTGATAGCGTATCTAGATCCCATCTACATGTGTTCCTTGTGTTTCAGTAATTTTGAGTTCAACTGGTCACTTTTACCCATTTTTTATTTAATTTGTCTGCATGTTCAGTAATCTTCAGTGGGTGAGCCTCAGGAATTTTGGAAGGAAAGGGTTAAAGTAGAAAGCAGTTATTTTATCATTTGCATAAAACTAAGCATATTTGTAGCACTTCAAATAATCTTGTTGGTATGTAAAGCACCAGAAAAATTTTAACATCTCTGATTAGATTGAATCTAATTTTCCTGATTTAGATATTAAATAGAAGCTGTAATTAGTATCTGATTCTCTTATGGAACTTTATTTTTAGGGTATGCGTGTATTTTGTTCATGGTTAAACTATCCTACAAGTGTTTAGTAATACTGATATTTTGACAGTGTCTAGAGAATGAGGTTTTGGTGATGAATGTCTAAAATAGCCTAAATTTCTTTCCAGTTCATGGTATTTTAGAGGTCTAGACAGGAGACCCAACTTGCTGATTGTGACAGTCTGACTTCTAGGACTAATTCTGTTGAATTGTTTTTGTGTACTGTTTGATTGTAAGCTATTGCATGACTACTTCTTTATAATTTGAAGCATCTCAGTATTCTGGTGCTGGAGGAGGATGGCTGTCTGTAATATTCTCTAGTTAGTACATATCCGCTGGTGATGCAGGTAGCAAATTTTGTCTAGTCTACAGACTGAACTTTGTTTTCCTTATGCTACTGTTTGTGGCCAAAAATAAGCAGTGTGAGTGTCTAAGCCTCAGATCTTCTTGATAGGGCTGCTGGACTTCTGTGCAACCCAGAACTTCTCTATTTTATTTTGCCATAACCTGAAGTAAAATGCTAAAATGACCTGTGTTTGTCAGAACCTTTAAACTTTGGGGTATGTCAGACCCCATCAAATCCCCAAATGTATAGCTCAGTAAAAAGAGTATTCCCTAGAACTGGAAAAGAGGAATGCTTGAATTTTGGTACAGTTTTCCCAGCAATGTCAGCATAAAGATTCCTGTCTCAGGTATTTTGAGCTTTTCCCTGAAGGTCCGTCAGGTCTGGATGATGGATTATTCTTCCTAGGCTCCCTTTGGACCATGTAGTGTCTGTCTGCTGTGGTCATTAGCTACACCGTAGTCACACTGATCTGATATTTCCACCATTGTAGTTCCCATATTAAATCCACATGTGACACCTCCATAATCTTCTCAAGGGTGCATCGCACATGTGTATCTGTCATGTAGCTGGTGCTTTGCTGTGGGGGGAGTTATATAATTCTCCCCTGCAGCCCAGACCCCTGGGCATGTTCACCTCACATGTGCAGGACTGACCACAGCTAATGCTTGTACTGGATGGCTATGGAGGGTGCTGCGGTCTAGGCAGTTTTGGAGAGAAATTTTAGACTTCCTCACAAATTTTTCTCCAAAGAATTGATTTTCATTATTTTCCCTGGTCTTAAAATGGGCTTCAGTTCCTCTGAAAGCTGTCACCTGTCAGTGTACCCCTATTAAAATGTAGCTATCACAATCCTGATAAACAGTCACATGCCCTACTGTTTCCTGTGGCTTGTCATGGAGTTCCCCTCAGCTGCTATCACAGTGTGCGAGGACGGTGACACTTGTATCACCTGAAAATAGACCACGTTAAGGGCCAGCCAAGAGCCCTTTCCTGGTAGACTTCATGACTATTTATGTGATATCTCTTCCAGGGCTTAGAGTCTGACATGCTTAGGCATCCTTCCAGTCTGCTTTCAGTCTGATTTTCCAGCCTTTTACTGTCCTCTGGCATCGTGTGTGAACTGTATCTAAGGTGCTTCCAGTAGTATGAATGCTTTTGGGATTCTTCATCCCATATTTACTCATCCCATGTTAGGATTAAATAGAGTCTCCCCAACTTTGCGTCCCCCCTAAGAAGGGCAGGGAGTAGGGGAAGACAACAGGTCTTCCTATTGTCAGGATGAAAGATCTGAGTAGCCAAGCAGTTGTGAAAGTCTAATTGGAAGTTTACTCAAGTATGAGAGGTTTCATGAAGAAAGACACATAATCTACCTGTAACTTCAAGTCTGACCATTCCCCTGGAAAATGAGTGATTGGGACGAGGAACTGATAGAGCACCTGGGATGAAGGAGGGAAGCAGAGCAGGAACTGCAATCCCTCAGAGATTGGATCTAAGACTATGCACTTAGGAGAGACTAGATTTAGTGTCCTAATGTGAGAAATATTTTCTGTTAATTTTAACCACAAACACCCTCCAAAACCTGAGGAACCTTTATTTTCAAAGAAATGTTTCTTCAAAAATTCATGTTTATTTTGAGTTACTGGTTTCCTTTTTCGCTATTTTTTTCTCATAGTGTCTCTGTCACATAATGTCTGTTGTGTTGACTCTAAGGCTGTGTCTTGTTCCCTTAAATGAGATCAGTTGGGTGTGCAGGAAGCTTGCATGCCAGTAGGGAAGGAAGGATGTCCTGCTGAGTGTCCTCTGGGACAGCAGATCAGAGTGACTGCCAGAGAGAGGAGTCACATGAGGGAAGCAGTGGCTTAGCTCCAGGAAGAAAATTGAGAAACTGCAGTGGTGAGTCGGGGTCAGACAGTGAGGACTCAGTGAGGCAGAAGCAATTTTCCTGAGGTCTAGGAGACCCTGATCTGACTTCTGAAGTCATTGAATGATTTTAAATTTTAAGCCTAAAGTTAGAGGTTTTAGATAAAGTCTCTCAAAACGGCAGAGAAAAAAAAAAATCAAGATTTTTGCTGACTGTTATGGAATTCAATGCTGGAAAAAGTCCTTTCAAAGTCAGCTTTGAAACAGCTTGAAGCAGCATAACAATGTTAGGAGTGCCCAGACATTTAAGTTTGGTAGATGTTATAGGTATTTTAAACTAGGTAGTGAAAACAGTTAGCATTCTACTGATCAATTCTTCCTATGTCGTTTTTAAAGAAGGATTAACTCAAGATTAAGCCAGGAAGCTCTCCTAGCACATTTTGCTGTGGAAAAGTTGTTAAATTCAGCCAGCAGAGGCACTTTCAGATGAGAGCATGCAGTACCATTGCAACTGTACACCTGGCTTTTATTTTGTTTTTGAAGGACATAAATAGATGTGAAATTTAGAACAACATTAAGACTTGATGAGTGAACAGCCCAAGCTTCACTTAGGTACATGAGCTACACAGCACGGCAGTGGATAACATATTTTTGAGTTTCACAAAAGAAAACTGTGTCCTTCCTACTTTTCTCCTCCTCAGCTGCCCTCTAACAACCCTCACTGGAAGGCAGCACTGTACGTGATGGTCACCATGGCTTCACTTCTCTATATGGATTTCAGTGTGGAAGTCCTTTAAGAAAGATTAGAAGAAAGTGTGATGATTAAATCACCAAATTAGGAAAGTTGCTAGAAGTATTTTTAAGTTTGTTTTCTAGTGGCTCTTTTGAAGAGTAGGTGATCTTTCTCCTGTTTTAGTACTTAAAGAAATGCAATGAGCATAGCTCAGGAGGAGGTCTAGTGAATATTAAGTGAAAGCCTGTAGGGATTTACCTGACAAAACACTTCTTGTGAGAGGATGTGATCAGTTATTTGTGTCTTTTTTTTTGCGTACCAGTTAACATCTTGTTTACCTTCTGATTTTTCCAGATATCCGTGGAATACAAGAATTTTTAGACAAAGTATCTCAACAGGGAATGGATGTAGCATTGCAGAAAGTAGAAAACAACATCAATAAAATGATCACGGGGCTCTTTGCCACTATGCGAATAGAAGAACTGAACCGCTACCGGGATACCCTGAGACGGGCTATTCTCATAATGAACCCTTCGACAGCCAAATCATTCCTGACAGAGGTATGTGTTTTAACAAGAAGTTATCTTCTTGTTTTGCTGACCAAGACTGCAGCTGTTTGTCAAAAGATTCAGTTTGTTTGACTTCATAAAATTAATCAAACAAAAAACCCAAAATGCAGAGCCCAAGTTAGAAGTTAAAATATTCTCTCTTCAAAGATCAGCATGCAAGGGTGGTTTTTTGTGCTCATCAATGTGCATACAGAACACTATAACCTTCTGCATGAGCAAAAGCATTTAGGAAATATGCAGAAGAATTAGCCTTCAGACTTCTGTTTGAACCTCGTAGGTCCTCTATTACCATTTCCATTCTCGTGTCCCTCACTAAAAAATTCTTTACAACTGAAATTTTTATTATGATTTAGCTATATATAATGTATATTTGTGGATAAATTTGTTCACCTAATTGGAATTTAGTTTTTTATGTAAAATAATGTTTGATTATGATCTTTTATTTACCACTGGGAGTAGTAGGGTGATGAAGGATTTGATTTGCATGAAGAATTCGAAATGATAGACTGAAGTCATGTTTTCAAGCAATATGGACCCGATTTTCAAAAAGTTCTTTGGAATTTGGAGACAGAAGACTCATATATCCCATTTGACTATGAGGCGTGTAATTTTTTGAAATCAGTGGCATGATTCTTAATACACGGCACTGTGCTGTTTCAAATGTGTTTTTTTACATGAGTGTATGTTCTTCATCATCAACCAGCGCTTAAAAATCTACTTGTTTTCTGTTCCATTGAAACACACTTTCTTTCTTCAGTAAGTTCTCTTTGAATCTGTTTGTAACTTGCATGACTTTTCTTCAGTACTTCTCTGTTGCCTTGGTCTTCAGAAGTTGAAGCTTAAAAACTACCTCTGCACATGTCTCAAGTGAATTTTAAGAACATTAGTTAGAAGATGGGTTTATAAGTTTCTTTTTCAAAATTTTTTTTGCCCTTGTGTTTTTTGGCTAGGCATTTCACTGTCCTCATTACACACTGAAGCTTGCTAATTCTGAGTAATGAAGGTTTGCTGCTCTATCCAAATGTCTAGTTCTTTATAAGATGTACACAATTTGTTGGCATGTTTACATCGTTCTGCAGTGTTTTCATTAGCCAGGTCACAAGTGTTTTATATTTTGGCAAGTGGCATTATAAGGTATTTCACATTTCAACTTGAAAGCAGCATGGTTCAGGGCTCTAATTACAATAGCTTTGTGAAACAAAACTCCTATATTGTTCCTATGGAGTAACATACTTTTTTTTTTTTAGAAAGTACACTTTCTTTATAATTTATTTCTACATCCTTGAGCATAGTAACAAAGTTGTCGTCATCTTTTGAAGTTGTCACATATATCTTGTCAAGAAAGTAGAGAACGTATTTTAGAGTTCTCACTTTGGCATTGGCCACTCAAAACCCTCAAAATTGAAAGGAAAAAGAGTAAAAAAAAAAAAAAAAACTTGACCAAATCCACAATCTTTGTCCCTCAAAAAAAAAAAATAAAAAAATTCCAAAACAAAAAATCCTGAAAAAAAAGAGACTCACAGTATTTCTTATTTTCTGCACTCTGTAAGACTACTAGGAAAGATCATTATATTCTTGTGTGAATGGGGTTCAAAGAGAGAGTCTCACATCAGGTGCCACGTTACAGGTTTTTGCCAGGATAAAGGAATGTACTTGAAATATGGTATGTACCTGGTAAACTGACAGCAGGAGCCTCTTCATAGGAAGAGTTACTCAAATAGTGCAATTACTCTTTACTTTATTTCTGTTAGTAATAAGGAATGAAGTACATGACTGTACTCCAATATTAAGTCTTTGCACAAGGAGAAATTTCCTGGAATGGCTTTGCCAATGGATATTAAAAACTGTTATTTTGAGTTGAACCAGCAGCTGTACTGTATGGGCAAACAAACTAAAAAGCCTATGGACTACCAAAGGGTTACAAAATTCCCAAACAATTAAAGTGTGGGCATGCTTATTCCAAAGCCTGTACCTTGTGCATGAGTAGTTTAGCTTGGAAATTTAGTGTAACCTAGTGGATTTAGCATGTAAACCTTATGAAGATAATCAGAAGAAACTGCATATGTAGAAAAACCCTTTGGGGTTTTTGTGGCTTTTCTGCCCAGGAGCTGCTTTTGGCTGCCTAGTTGGATTCAGCTGTCAGCTTCTCTCCCCAGACCTCACATAGTCTCTACTGCTTGGTGCCTTCTTAGATGACTGTTTTGGCTGAACCCCTTCATTGTTTAGCTGAGAAGAGGGTTCATTCACTCTGCAACAGCTGTAGTAAGCGTGGTCTTGATTACTATGCAAGTAACAACTATTCCAGGGTAAGAAGTCAGACACTGGGCTGTGTAAATAAGCAGTCTGTAAACTGGAGTTTGCTTGTGTAGAATTTATCTTTGTTCGGACTCTTTGGAGTTCTGTATTGAATTCTTTTTTTTTTTTAAAAAAAAGCAGTATTGCTTTTTTATGTTAGATTTTTCTTTCTCTCCATCTTTTCTAGAGCTTGCAGAGATGAGATCTATACTTACATACTCAATAAAATGGAGATTAAAGAGTAAATACACTTCTCTGGCTGTGGAAATAAAAGCCCACCTTCTGTTAGACTGTTATGTATTAATTTGCCTTCCATAAAACATGGAAGGGCAGGAAGACTTGGGAGCAAGTATCACGGCATCTCTCCTTACTGGCTAAAGGATTCATGTAAAGTGAGAGGGAGGGTGCAGCTGAATTCCCTATTGTCCTTTGTTGCTTTGAGCTGAGGATGGGAGAGCAGAAGGAAAAAAAAAATCTGCTGAAGTAGTGACATTCACTGGGGCTAAGGAGTGTGGAGGTATGGAGCTAGTAGAGACTAGGACCTCTCCCCAGATCAGTTTGTGGCAGCATCTTGGAAAATTCTTTGCCAGGGATATACTGATGACTTGTTCAGGTTTTTTTTCAGAGGAATGCAGTTTTTCTCTACCCTCAAGTAATCACTCAGGTCCCACAGGTGAACCAAAATATTGCCACTGAAACTTTAGTGATTACTAAAAACCATGTTAGAACCAAAACTTGCTATGCTGTCTGCTAGCCCTGGTGACTAATGTGAACTGCGTGTCACCTTTTTTGCTTTACATTTTGGGATGTTTTGGTTTTTTTTTTCCTCATGTGTTCTTCTGATCTGTGATGAACTTGCAGGCTATGAAAAGCCAAATAAGGTAAGAGAAATAAGATGTCCTTACCAGCTCAGCATGATAACAAAAACCCGGGGTCAAGTGGCAGAAAAAAAAAAATGGAAAAAAAGAAATAAAAAAGTCACCTGGTTCTTTAGCAAAAGAGCAGGAACTCAGTGGGCCAAGAAACTCTCTATCACCATGTGAGCCCTGTCATGAAGGCATCTCAAAATAACAGTAGAAAAGAAAAAAGAGAATACACCCCTGTGTTGGGCCCGCCTTGCAAAGGAAGGACTTCTAAAGTCAAGTGTGAGAAGGCTGGTTAGGAGGAGAAGCAGGCCAGGAAACTCAGGATGCAATAGAGGTTCCAGGGATAACAAAGCAAGTTTGGGAAGCAAGACTTTGGGAAGCAAGAATTTAAGCTGCAAGCCAGGTGTCCTCAATTGGGTCAAAATGCTGTCAGTACATCTTTGCATACAGTTTTATTTCTGTTTAGCTAAGGAAACTACCTTATTAACTGTGTTCAGAAATGTGAATGTGTTCTTCTGTCCAAAGACTCAGGAGCTGATAACAGGACTACAAAGGAGGGACTAATTCATCCTTTTAGTTATAGAAAAAAACTAAGTCAACTAGCAGAAGACTTCACACATTGAAAATCCAGTAGGCCACATGTGGAAGAGCCTTAGCATCAGGCAGGGATTTTGCTGGATTTTTGACAGGAAAGGTCTAGAAGGCCTTTGTCTAAGTGCTGAAGACACTGCTGCCCCAGCTGCCACTCAGTGGGGGGATTACTAGCCCAGCAAACTCAGCAGATATGACTGTACACCTTGCTGCCCCTGGTGAGGTCCCTTCTCTTGCTTCTGTTGCAGGGGTAGTTGCCTCTTACAGAAAGAGATGAGAACACTTTTTTCTGCAGCATTGAGATTCAGACATTTATCTAGGAAGAAAAATTTGGAGCACTGGTGATGTGTATCAGCCAACAAAGCTGTTCAAGGGCTTGACAATCTCAAGCCATCAATGCAATGAGCATTGACAGTTCCAAGATTGGAGAGTACTACTCTTCAGCTCACTGTACACTATATGGTTTGTGTAAATACAAATAATAACTATTTATTTGCAAAGGTTCCACTCTGCAATAAACTTGAAGTTACTGGACCCCACGATGTCCAGACTTTAAGCATGCTAGAGATATTGAAAATGTTTACTGTTAAACATCTATTTAAAGTTAAGCTCACGCCTGCATGACAGAACTGGGTTATAATTATTTAAAAGGTATATTCAACAAAACTAGCTGCTGCCAAATCTGAGAGTTGTAGCAACTCCTATGTGTTGACCTGTGTGTATGCAGACATGCTTATTGTACTTACTTCTATAGGTGTTGTTTTATTTCTCTGTATTTATTTTCAAAGAAAATTAAAGTTATCTAGCTTTCAGCATTAGTATAATCTACCACACATGATTTTTCAAATAAAGTCCTTTTTTCTATCCCAGGCAGTCTGTCCCCCCCTACTGTGGGACAGTTCTAAAATAAAGTTATCATCAATCAAAAGAAGCTACACTGCTACTTTCATGAATAAAAGAACTCTTTATAAATGAAATGTTAAAATAAACAGGGAAGATTGAATAAAGCTTATAAATTAAGTACTGAAGAGTTCTTGCCATGTAGTGGGCAAGTGAAAAAAATAGAAAAGTGAATGTTTAAGGAGCAAATGCAATTTAAATTGCCTCATGTTATTGAACGTTCACTATGCTTTTTCTAATGTGAATAAAATGAGAAGTAACATTTATCCTGTTAAACAAGATTATTCCTGGTGGCAAACACCCTGTTTTTTATTATATTTGATTATTGTCTCTCTGATG